TAACAACATTCTACACTAAGTGGCACTTAGGACTTGTATTAGATGAACAATAGTAAAAAAAAAGATTAAAATAGAAAAAAGAACAAGTATGTAAATTCATGCCTTAATCAAGCTGGAAAATGCTACACACACACAAATATATATATATATATATATATATATATATATATATATATATATATATATATATATATATATATATATATATATATAGATAGATAGATAGATAGATAGATCACAAATTGCCTTTCTGCGACTTTTCTATAAATACGTTCATGGTTCGGAGGAGTTCGTCGCTATGGTACCTTGACTTTTTAAATTTAAACACAGTACTAGACTAGCATCTAGATTTCAGCAACTTACAGTTCAGTGCGGTGATGGGGTGATACCGATTACTATATATATATATATATATATATATATATATATATATAAGTGTGTGTGTGTGTATGTATATATATATATATATATATATATATATAAGAGTGGGCAATTAGGTTCACGCCGAGTGCCGATAATCTGTTTCAGGCATGATCGTAATTTACAGGCCTGAAGATTGCGTTCAAGCTTGAAAAAGACTATAGATACTTTCAAGGGCCTTGAAATTAAAGTCTGAAGATCCAGAGAAAAATAAAATCTCTGGTGAAATAAATTATAACTAATGGAACCTTAAAATGGTCTGTTTTTTCTTTAAATTAAATTATTCGCTCTGACTTAACATTGAGCTCTCCGGATTTCATCCTCCTTGGGCTTATCCATTCAGATTACCAAAATTTTCCTTACTCATATATATATATATATATATATATATATATATATATATATATAATTGTATATTTAAGCAGGAATCCCCCTTTACAAAGTTTCATTAAATACGATTGACAAGGTACTGCAGTTAAGTCTTTTATTTAATTTTTCATATGTTCTTACAATTTTCTTTTTTTCTGGACATAGATTATGCAGAAATCGTCCAAATGTTTTGTACACCCGAGGGCTTTCTACCATCATTTTAGACATTATTAAGGATGATTTTATTTCTACATTTAACTGAATCTATTGTATTATGTATGTATCTAGAGTTATAGGAATGTTTTATTTTACAAACACGGCCAGCACATTGTGAGATTATATAAAAGTATTTAATGAAACGTAAATAAATATATGTGTGTATAAATGTGTGTGTTTGCTATTGTATATTTTTACGAATTCGTAAGTATCCCACAGAGTATCTCAGAATATTTTATAGAAACCATTAATGGGATATTATTATATCTACTTATGATTTTCGAATCAGGCGCCCATATCATGGCGAATTACAGTATGATGCAGTACTAATTTCGAAATTCACAATTTTTGGTTTACCTCTGGGCTGAACCTGTGTTATTAAGAATTTGGTTGGTAATTCCAACCTGTGAAAGATGTCACTCCTGATAAAATCCAGGGTGTGTGATGTTGAATTTGAGTGCAGAGATGCTGGGTTACCTCCTGAAACCAGATTCAATTCTCCAGCTTTCCTCTTTCTCATCATTTGACACTAAGATTGACTTAGATCGACGTAGAATATATACTTTTATGTATTAAGAATTTTTTTTGTGGGGGGGGACATGACCTTGTTCCTGAAAATTCTAATAATCAGCGTTTAAGAAGAAGAAATAGAATTTCGATTGTTATCAAAACCGTTAAGACGAAAGGTATAAGTCTTAAAAGAAGACATGAAATAATATAAAATTATATTTTACAAAAATGAGTGATAACGTTAAAAAAAAACTTTGTTTAGAAACATTATTCTCGCACAAAGGGGATGAGGTATTTGCAAAAAGGTAAGAATATATTAAAAACAGGTTAATATTGAAGGCAATAAAACGGTTGAAGCAAAAGAAATAAATAAGGAAAAAAGAAAGAAAGAAAATGAAAACGAAGAAATGGAGAAAGAAAGAAAAATAAAGTAGAAAGTATGAAAAAGATAGAATGGAAGAAAAAAGAAAAGAAGAAAGGAAGAATTGGAGAAAGAAAGAAAAATAAAGTATGAAAAAAGAAAGAAAAAGATCGAAAAAGGAAACGAAGAATATAAAGAGTAAGAAAAGAAAAGAAAGGTGAAGAAAGAGAAGAAGAAAATAACGAGGAAAAATGGAGAAATAAAGAAAAAGGTAGAAAAAATATTAGAAAAAGTACAGCAAAGAATGAAACAATAAGAAGAAAGAAACAACGAAACATTAAGAGAAAGAACAGAAAATCAAAATGAAGAAATTTGAAGAAAGCAGCAGACATTTAGTAAGCGACAGCTTTGGTTTATTTCACTAATCAAACGTCCCCAAAATTTCACAAATGTGTCGGGAGGCCAGCAAGATGTAAACATGGGTGAATACGTGCGCATGCGCGTATGGACTGGGGTTAGAATAGGCTAAAGTCAAAGGCTAAGAGGAAATCGGAGGCGAAAGCGATTCCTTTTCTATCAACCTTTGCATCGTTCTCAACTGCTTGATTTCCGTTTACCAGGTCCACCCGACTCACATTCATTACACCAGAACAAACACTCCAGTTGACACTTTTCAATTAGTTATCTGTCAGTCCCGAATATGATTCACCCAAAACAACACTCTCTCTTTCTCTCCTTCTCTCTCTCTCTCCCCTTTCATTTTTCTGTTTCTCATTACCTTCTCTCTTTCTATTTCCTTAGTCTGAAATCAGTTTCTGAAAATCCTTCCCACAAGCCACCAAACCCTTTTACCGCCATTTTCATATAAATACATGTTCTACCACAAAAGCTAGCTTTTCACCCATTAGATTATACATTCGATTATTTAATGCATTTTGTTAGATAAATTGTAACCGACGCGTGCAATGTTTTGGGCGTGGTCTTAGGTAAAGGAGGGTAGAGTGAAGAAACAGAGGGTGATGGTGGGTGGATCATCGTCGTCTAGACGCGCTCAAGGCGTGAAGATCAAAAATCAAAAATTGGCATAAACTCAAAGCAATTGATTTGATATAAGCACTGATCGGTGTAAATGCTTCCAACTTATGCGATCTCTACACATAACCACGTGAAAATACAAACAACTATTTCCATCTATCCCAGTCTATTCATATCTATCTTTAAACAATTAACGAACTTTTTAAAAAAAATATGACGTTATTTTTTATTACTTTAAACGTTATATTTAACAGGCGCACGTGTCTGAGCAGACATGCTTTCCCTTTTTTTAAATTTATTTATTAAATAACCCTGATTAGAAAAAAAAGTCGGATAGCTTTTCGATTTCTATCTGGAGATAGATTTTCTTTTGGCTCTCTAGGCCGGTAGACACTGTTTTTAAAAAAAGGGATGTCCACTCAAACACATGTATCCACTACATAGATAAAATATTTAAAAATCCATTACAATTAATTTTGTTTAATTTTTGGGGACGAAAATAAAGTTAGCAGATATAGACTTCTAATTGTCCCTACGAGAGATACAGTTTTATATATATATATATAAACTGAGTAAATCTTAATGCAGACATGACTTAATTGAGTTAATTCTCATGCAGACATGACTTAACTGAGTTAATTCTAATGCAGACATGACTTAACTGAGTTAATTCTAATGCAGACATGACTTAACTGAATGCAGACATTAACTTTAATTCTAATGCAGACATATCTTAAATCTTAATGCAGATGATTGAAAAATGAAAATCTTAAAGATGATTGAAAATGAAAACGAAGAATTAATACCTGTCAGGACGTAGATTTTAAATCTGAGATGTATCCAAATGGATGATAACAGACAAGAGAAATCTCTTGCAGTAACGGCAATGGCAATATTAGATGTTTCCTCATAAGGAAACATTCGACATTCATTGACTGAACAGTCAGTACTGCTGTCGACTGAAATTTATAAAATCTTTCTCTTAAAACAATTCTTCAGGAAAATAGGTTTCTCAAGTCCAGTAGCTCTCTTTTCAATACTGATGGGAGTTTCCTTCCTAACCTTTTATTTAAAGTAGTGTGGAACGTCAACATCATGATTATATCATCATTTTATCTTCGAGTTACATGTGAAATCCATTTTAGCTGTCGCTGTTGTTGAAAGTCCTGAAGTGATGTGATTTCTGTTATTTCATACTGTGCTTTGTTTGTGATTCTGCAACGCTAGACAAGGTTTGAAGAAGTGTGTTCTTCGCCCAAATCCAGTCTTAACTTTGCTCAAAGCAATTTTTAGCCATTGATCTTAGAAAGTAGTTGGATACAACTGACAGTTTAGATATTTCTGAACGGATCTGACGAAGCTATTTAAGAATATGACCCGCATTTTCAGGTTAATGTTTTGACTCTAGGATTTTCCGATGACAGCCGAAGCTACCTCTAGCGCAGCCTATTCAATGTTCAGTTTCCTTATCTCCTATACTAAATTTGCTATAATTCATCCATACACCAAGGTATTTGAAGTGCTTAGTATTTACTCATTCCACATCCTAAATTGTCATGATAGATTCAAAGTATGTGGCATCATTGTTTTCATTCTAAATCCAGATCATAGTTTCTGTTTTGGAAAGGATAACATTGAGTCGGTCGTATTTCTTGGAACACTTGGTAGTGGGTGCAGGGTTTCTGTTCTAGATTATTCTTATATCAACTATGAATCACTATATCATTCCATATCCCCCTTCATCATCAGTAAGGAAAAAAGCAGGATCGTTACTACCTATTAGTAGATGACTTTCAAATGTGGTATAGAAGGCTTCAATGATCAGAACCCATCTGTTCACATCTATGCTTAAAAATGCGCAAGGCATAGTCTAGGAAGAAACTAAATAGACGGGGGGAAGTCTCTCATCTCCACCTTGGCGCAGTTTTGATGATCGCAGCGATTATCTTCAAAGGTGAGGAATGTCTGTTTACTTTGTAAATTTGTATTTCTAGGATCGCGCACACTAGCCATACGTGGCTAGAGATACATTTATCTCATGCAAGCAGCAGACATAGATATACAAATATCATTGAAAGATGATTAAATGTTATACCAGAGTGATATCATGAAGGTCACTGGTTTTATTGCGAAATGTATCTGATACTCCAACCATAATGCTTTCCGTAAAACAGGACTGTTCCGAAGAGAATAGATAGATAGATAGATAGATAGATATAGATAATGAATAAACTGAGATAATCATGAACAGATTGTGATTGATATTTAGATAGATAATGGACAAACTGAAATAGGTAGATGCATAGATAGATAGTTATGAACAAACTGGGGCAGATAGAAATATGGATATGAACAGACTTAGATAGATAGATAGATAGATAGATAGATAGATAGATAGTGAATAAACCGAGATATATAGAAATATATTTTTTTATATTATTTACATTGTTCGCATTGTTGTCCTCATCTTTATTGCCATACTCGCGACGTTTCGGCCGTTATACGCTCCAGTCTTCTTCAGGTGACAGGAATTTCGAACTGAATCCTTTATTTCGTCCGCAGGCTAGTTCCACATACCATGCCTCTTTAGGATGTCTCAGTTATTTCTCTTTAACTCAACTCACCACTGCAGTAGCCACGTATTAAACTCACAATTCTTTGGGTATTTTCACTAGATCCAACCAACCTTTTTATCCACTGGGTCATCAGTGTATGAATTTTTGGGACTCATAAAATAAGTGTCTCAGTAATTATTTTTGCCATAGCTCATATTGCAATTTTTGTTGTTATTATTGTTAGCATTCCGTATTACTGGTTCTCATATCGTATTCATTTCTACGGAGAGTTTACGTATTTTCCGGTGATGTTCGATGCTATTTCAACCTCAACTCACAAGGGACGGTGATCTCTCTTTTCCCTCCATACGTGGCCAGATACGCCCGATTTTTCTATTCACCCTCGTGTTAAGACTTTACAATGTCTTTGCAGTCTTATCTTAAGGAGACGGCTTTTTTCTTCTTTATATTTCTTACCACAGCTGCACGGGATTGCGTACACGTAGTCCTTAGTCATGTTCTCCTCTAAGGGGTGTCTGCGAAGTGTCAACCTATATTTAAAGGTCGTCATGATGTTATATGGATCACAGATCCTTTGTATTTTCTCCAATAATCCCTTCACATAGGGTAGGCAGACCGAAGCTGTTTTATGAGTGAAGGTATCCTCTTGTACTCTCCCAGTTTATTGGATCTGCTGTCATGTACCCGATGAAGTTGTTACGTTGTAGGGTACTGCTTATACTGACCATTTCTTGTTTATATGTCTCTGGGTTGCCAGTTATGACTTTTGCTTGATACTGTAAGCAGCGGACGATACATTTCTTTACACTGTATGGATGGTGGAAGTTGAAGTTGAGGTATTATCCGGTGAATGTTGGCTTGCTGTATATGGATGTCTTGAAACCATGCTCTGTTCGAGATATTAATACATCCAGGAATGTAAGCTTGTTGTCACTTTCTCTTTTCCATTTTGAACTGCTTCGATGATCTTATTGAGTTCACATGGTCCAGCAATAGCTTGACCTCTTCCTAGTGTGGACAGAGTATTAAGGTGTCATCTACGTATCTCAGCCATAGGGTTGGCTTTAGTGATGTGGATTCTAATGCCATTTCTTCTAGTATTCCATATATATGTTTGCTATTGCTGGTGAAAATGGTGAGCCCATTGCTAAGCCTTCATCCTCGATATATGTCTGATTCCATTCTAAAGGGTGCTGTTTATGTGCAGAAAGTCAGCATCTCCATCAGTTTATCTTTTGGTATACTGGTCTGTTCTCCTAGGCCAGTCTGTCCCTGACTACTGCGAGTGCCTCCTCCGTGGGCTCGCCACGTCCAGGATCACCATATTGTTGGGTTGGATGCGAACATCTTTAATTATATCTACAAAGCGGACAGGTGACTTTCCTATTAATGGGCCAATTATATCTACAAGAAAGCGGCTCAGAGCGTGGCACACAGAGCCTTGGCAGCTAACAATCAGCCTGAGAGGAATACCGTCATTGTGAATTTTGGGGAGACCGTATAGGTGAGGTAGCTTGGTGTAACGCTGCGACAAATGTCTCTATGTCTTAGGTAGAAAGTATTCCTTGTTGTTGATTAGGATCTGCGACAGTTTTCATTCTGTTTTCAATCTTTCATCTTCCATTACTTTACTGTAGCTACCATTTCTAATGAGGTCTTCCAGTTATCCTGTGTATTTCGATTTGTCCATCACTATAGTCGCAATGCCTTTGTCAGTTGGTAGTATGATGATTTTTTTCATTCCTCTGTAAGGATTTGATTGTCAGCCTCTCCAGTTTCGTGATGTATGATTTGGACGGCTTGGCTTCGTTTGGGTCAACTTGGTTCTAATGCAGTGTTGAACAAGAACATGGAGATTTAAGTTATTAAAGGGAGATAACTGAGACACCTGGAAAAAGAATGGCATGTGGAACTAAAACAATCTACTCCGGTGGGCGAAATAAAGGTTCAAACCTAAATTCCAATCACCTGAAACCAAAGAACGTAACAACAAGTCTTCAAAATATTTCGACTTTTATTTTTTCAAAAAAGATGAAGACCAACAGTTTGAAATCTCCAATGTAAATATAAACATTTACCTCATGTCAATATATATATATATATATATATAAATATATATATATATATAAATATTTATATATATATATATACCACCTATTGTATATGCAAATATATATATATATATATATATATATATATATATATGTTCTGTCCGTATGTATATATATATATTAGCATATATATAGGATATATGTATGTATATATTATATATATATATATATATATATATATATATATATATATATATATATATATAAAATGTTTATATATATATCGGATTTATATATATATAAATGTATTTATATATATATATATAAATATATATATATATATATATATATATTTTAAATATATATATATTATATATATAATATTTATATATATATATATATATATATATATATTGACAAGAAAAGGTCACTTTTTTAAAGAGACTTATAACAAAATTAGTATATTCTTTTTCCCTTAGACCAAGGCTTTATGGTCTTCTAAAAGTTCATAAGAAGGACGTTCCATTGAGACCAATACTTTCAATGATTGGTTCATCCCAACATTCTCTGGCTCAATGGCTTCTACAGGTCGTACAACCTGGTAGAAACATTTTTGCTAAACATTGTATACCTGATTCGTTCACGTTTGTTGAACATACAAAATACAACGTCTTGCCCTGATACTGAATGTGTTTCCTTTGATGTGTCCAGTCTATTTACCAACGTACCATTGAGGGAAACTATTGATATCTGTGCAGACTTTTTATACGAAGGTAACATTGCTCCACCTCCTTTTCCTAGGATATATTTATAGAACTCATGATACTATGTACTAGTTGGGTGGAGTTTTTGACAATATTATGTATAGTCAAGTGGATGGGGTCCAGATGGGCATCCCCTTGGCCCTGCATTGGCTGATATTTTTTGTGGGCTACCATGAAATGTTACTTTTTCGGCAAAGTGTCTAAACCGTTTGTTTACGTTAGATATGTCGATGAAACCTTTCAACTTTCTCTAATGAAAGTGAGGCTGTTGAGTTCTTTAATGCCTCAACTCCTTACACAATGGTTTGTCTTTCAATATGGAGGGGAGAAAGGACAACTGTCTGCCTTTTTTGGACGTTTTGTTGAACGCAGTAGTAATTGGTTTTATTACTAGCATCTATCGTAAACCCACCTTTACTGGACTTTTTATTTAATTGGCGTTCATTTGCACCTGCATCAAGAAAAATTAATCTCGTTAAAACAACAGTGTATAGAGCGCTTAAAGTGTGTTCCTCTATTAGATTGGACCGTGAATTTGGGAACATTAGGGAGATTTTCCTTAGTAACGGCTATCAAAGGCCTTATTGACTATATTATTAGTAAGAAAACTAAGGAATTTCATTCCCCTAAAATCCAGGGAGCCTTCTAAATGTCCGGTTTGTTTGAAGATTCCCTGGATTGGGGATAGTGGTCAGGGCTTAATTAAGCAGGTTAATCTAGTCGGTTTCCGGTTGTTTCCCATCAGTTGCTTTAGTAGCATTTTCAAACTAGGTCTGAGTTTCTAATGTTTTTTCAAGGATGTATTGCCCTACATCAAATTGAGTAATTTAGTATATGAATTTAATTGCCAGTGTGCTGCTGGTTATGTGGGGCGTACAACCTTGCATTTGGAAACTAGAATTAATCAGCACGTACCTTCAAAATACGACTTGGTAAGATAGATAGAATATGCTATCTTCCCCCATGAATATGGAATCGGCTATTGCTCAACATTTAGTTGAGAATATAGCTTGCGCCAAGTTGTTTAAAAAAGAGTGGTTTAAATTATTCATACAGCCGATTCCAATAATCATTTGAAGATTTTGGAATCGGTCTGTATAGGATTAAGAAAACCTTCTCTCTGCCGGCAGAAAGAATTTATAAGGTCTCTGAATCTGTTGGGGATATTTTATTTTAACTGTCCCTCGCTAATTTATTTACACGATCCCTTCCCCCTCGTTACAAGTATATATACTTGTTCGTTATTTTAGTGTGTTTCCCTTTTTTCTTCAATATCGTTATTATTCATTTCGCTAATCCAACGATTGTCTCATGATGAGATGTTGGCTGAAAGGGCCCTAGAGACTTTTAAATTAAAATCAATGGTTTCTTTGTTTTTAAAACTATATAAAATTTTGTACCTCAAACATTTGTATATATATATATATGTGTGTATATATATATATATATATATATATATATATTATATATATATATATATATATATATATATATATATATATATATATATATATATATATATATATATATATATATATATATATATATATATATATATATATATATATATATATATATATATATATATATAGATAGATAGATAGATAGATAGATAGATAGATAGATAGATAGATAGTAGATGATCAAATTGCAATCCATATATATAAAGTTGAATACTCTGTTTGTTATCGAATTCCTCGTAGGTTTTTGGAGATAGACCCCCACCTAACCATATATACTGAAACTACATTACCCAAGGTACTTGGATAAGTATATTTCATTTTGATCAAAGGTGCCCGCGGGGTGCAGAAATTCCCCACTGAATTTTTCCCGTTTGATATAAATTAAATTTAAATTTGAACAAGGGGTTGACTCTTATTCAAAATTTAGAAGGAGAAAGCCAGAAAATGGAGGTCACATCAGCAGATCAACGAGTAATATTGAACTGCATCTTTTTTTCCCCACAAATTTATAAGAAGGATTTATAATCAATCATCATTTTCTTACAAAAAATGTGTGATACGCAGCAAGACGCGGGTAATTCGGTTTGTAGATAGATAGATAGATAGATAGATATGTAACTTAGGTGTATTTGATACGTAGTGGACACGTCATCGAGGATCGCACTCGCTCTATTAGCTATCTACTTGTTTTTTTTTTTTTTTGACAATCAGCGCCCTACCTATATTCTTGTCTGTGCGTGTGAGTCTCACTGCTAATATAGTCAAGTGTTAAAGTGTTGGACAAACATTTTTCAGTTTCAAAACTAACTTTCAATAGGTGGAGAGAAGGATACGCCTAATGGCAGTTGATGAATAACCAATTCCATATTAAAAATACTTACAATTTGGCTGTTTGAGGAGAATAAATAAAAAACGTCTTTCTTTTCTTTTGCTGTATGTTTCGATTAATTTGACAATTTTATACATACCTAGAAACACTGCAATATTTGTACATTGAAAACAATGAAAATACAAACAATATTCACGCTTTCATTCAACGGTTAATGTTTTTATTAAAGAACAGGTCACGATATTAAAAGCAAATGTTGAAAATGAGCAAGGAAAGGAATTCGATTCGGAAAAAAAGTGAATGATAAATCTGTAAATGTCTGGATAGACAGTTTAGATAAATGGGAACCTTTATTCCCAAAGATCCATTCCGTCTCTCTGTATTCGAATCCAAATTTTAATACATCTCTAAAATCAAGAATTCGATGCAGTGGCAGCGGGGGTGACGACAAATGGGCGAGACGGCTGCAACAGAAGTCACTCAGCAGACACGAAGTGTGTATGGGTTTGAGGAGAAGAAAAGTTGGGCGCAAAAGAAAGAAATATAGTCAAGAAAAGCAAATATAATAAAGAAAACGTAAATAGAGATAGGGTAAGATGTAGTAAATGTTGAGAAAGGGGAAATTAAAGTGTAAGAAGGGAGTGAAGGGAAAAAGAGAGGAAGGAAAGGAGAGGAGAGGAAGGAAAGGAGAGGAGAGGAAAGGAAAGAGAATAAAGATGAAAATGTTAAGATCGGGAAATAAAATAAAAAGGAATAGGAGAGAGATGGAAAAAGGTGAGGAAACAAAAGAGAGGCTCTAAAAGAAGATGTAAAAAAGAAGATGTAGGAAAAGGAGAAGAAAGGAAAGGAGAGGAAGGAAAAGGAGAGTAAAGATGAACATGTTCAGAAAGGGAAATAAAATAAGGAGGAGTAACAGAGAGATGGGAATAAGAGAGGGAATAAAAGGGGGATATAAAAGAAAATGTGGAAAAGGGGGTGTAGAAAAAGGAGAGGAAGGAAAAGGAGAGTAAAGATTAACAAAATATCAAGAATTGAAAAGAAAAGAAAGAATAAGAAGGGAATAGAAGAGGAAACAAAAGAGTGGATATAAAAAGAGAGCAAGGAAAAGGAGAGGATGGAAAAGTGTAAAGATGAAAAAATGTTAAGAATGGATATAAAAGAAAGAGTAAGAATAGAGAGAAGGGAAAATGAGCGGAAACAAAAAGCGAGGATATAAATGGAGAGGAAGAAAAAGGAGAGTAAAGATGAAAACATGTTAAGAATGAGAAATAAAAGAAAGAATAAGAAGGGGAGGGATGGGAATAGGAGAGAATATTAAAAGGAGAGGTAACAAAATGAGAGGATATAAAAGGAAAGAAGAAAAAGCATTGTAGCGGTTTTTAGGGGAAGGGCGGGAAAAATGATATATTTAAAGAGGAGAAGAGAAAAAGTCTAAAAGTAGGAAAGTTTGGACGCAACAGAAGACGAAATGAAGAAAAGATAAAAAACGGAAAAGTAAGGGGAAAAAAATCAAGAAAAACAGGAAGAAGTAAAATTTCAACGAAGGAAAAGAAATAAAACTAGAAAAAAACAAATATAAATGGAGGAAGGAAAAAACTAAAAGAAAGAATAGGTAAGGAAAAACAGTAAAAGAGTTTTTTAAGTAAAGCAAGAAAAGTAGAAAGGAAAGTAAGAGAAATAAACACTTAATGAAAGTAGAAAAAGGAAGAAAAGGGAATTTAGTGAAGAATGGATAAACATGTTTAAAAGTAGACAAAGAAAAAAGGGGGCAAAAGATGGAATCAACAAGAGGTGAAATAGAAAAAAGAAAAAGAAATTGATCATTAACTTCTAAAAGGAATAAGATGAAACAGATAGAAAAAAAGAGCAATAGAGAATTCAAGGAGATTTACGAAAGGAAAGAAGTTAGAAAGCAAAGAAACTAAAGATAAAAGAGAAAATCAAAAGAAATTGTTGCTATTAGTTGTCGCCATTTGCTGTGATGGAGAAAGCCGGCAAATAATAGGAAGAACTGTGGAAAGTGGTCTCAATTCACTAATGGAGATGTTTCGTTTCCCCCAACGTCTGCCAGGACAGCTGTGACGATGATAAAGTCGTTTAGCGACCCTTTGGGTGTCCGCCCCCCCAAATGAACTGTTCTGAACTCTTGAGAGACGCAACTGCAGGCTATAGAGAAAATTGCGACGAAGGGTTTGTGGGGTGTTTGTGGGGTGTTTATCTTACATTAATTGCTTTTACTTACTAAATTTGCAATGAAACATTTCGGGTAGCATTCGGGTTTCTTTTTTTGTTTTTTTGCAGTTTTTATATCTTTCATTTTAATTTTAAATCTTCACAAAATATTTTCTTCTTTTTTTAGTATTTTGTAATAAAAATAAAGACATTAGGAATTGCTGACGATAGAGGTGACGTGTAAAGAAAAAGGTTCTTTTGTATGCAAAATAGAAGCAATGGTGAAAGAGAAAGAGAAAAAATATATACGAGGAAGTGAAATAAAAGAAGATAAGAAAGAAGAATCAGAAAAGAAATATAGTTTGAAAAAAAAAGGGTTCAGAATCATACGAAAACGAACGAGTAAGAGAAGCTAGAGGAGAAGGTGAAAAAGAAAATGAGAAAAAAAAACAGTAAAATAAAACAAAGAATGGGAGAAAGTAATAGAAATATATATAAAAAAAAAAAATCGACGGAAAGTAGAAGGAAAAAAAAGAATCCAGTCTTAAATAAGTGAAGTAAATATAAAAAAGCGAACGATAAAATAATTTTTCTTCTAAAAAATAAAAAAAAAGAAAGACAAGAAGTACAATGTGGATTCTAAAGACAAAAAGAAGAAAAAAAATGAAAAACTTAAAAAAAAATAGATATACAAATAAAAGATAAAACGAAAAATCCGAAAGAAGTCAGAGAGAGAATAATTCCCGAATGAAAATGAACGACATGTGTAGAAAAAAGAAAGAAGGAAAGAATAACGAAACAATAAAAATGAGAATGAAGAAAAATAAAAAATAAAAATATCAAGAAAGAAATTGCATAAATGAATTTAGAAAATAAAATATCAGAAGACTGAATGAATGATTTCAAAAAAGAAAGAAAGAAAGAAAGAAAGAAAGAAAGAAAGAAAGAAAGCAATCTTAAAGGAAGGTAAAAGAAAAGAAGAAATTGCAGCTGAAAGAGAAATGAAAGTTTGAAGGAAATTTGAATTAACGAAAAGAAAGGACAAAGCGAGATGGGATGTTTTTACTTTTTTTAATAAGAAAATATCAGAGACTGACAGACAGAAAAACCGAAAGTGAAAAAAAAAAATGTTTGGGGTTAAAAGAAAAGAAAAGGTGTAGTTGTGTCACGGGATAAAAATCGATAGTCAAACAAAAACATTTTTTGTAAAGAAAAAAAGAAAAACAACAAAAATATGATAAGAATAAAGGAAATGAAAAAACTGAATAACCAATAAAGAGTTTTAATAACAAGAAAATGGCCAATACTTTTAAAGTAAAAATAAATTTGTCATATCTTTTCAATTGCTGTCAACATTTCGTTGTTATCGATGCGAGAACTGTTTATGGGCAAACGTGCGGCTCTTTCACTTCCCTCGCGTTTCTTGAATTTTTTTATTTTTTTAGTATGTGTGTGGGTGGAAGGGAAGATGAATTTCGTTTTTTTTTCTTTTTTTTTCATAAGCTGTAAACCTCTTTCAATAGAGGGCAATAGTCCCATTTTTCAAAAAATATGGGATCGTGTCGCAATTCTTAACTGAAGAAGACGAGACAAACTTTACGTCGGTCAAACTGGAAGAAGCTTTCATTTGGACCATTCTGAGTAGAATTACAAAAACAAAGCATCATTTTAAAGATGAATCTTCCAGGAAAAGAGGAAGACATGTCCAAGACATAAAAAATATTTATACAAATTAAATTCTCATGGAGATTTCATAGATATGAATAGATATATAAAAGTTTCTTTATTAACCAAACAATGAAAGCAGAGAGCAGTAATAATAAATTTCATATAAAATATATGCACATATCTATCTATCTATCTATCTATCTATCTATATATATATATATATATATATATATATATATATATACATACTATATCATACCTCTAACACGACTCTGAGTTTCATGTACGACAAAATCTTATATATATATATATATATATATATATATATATATATATATATATTTGGTCTGTTTCATTACATTGAACACCGTTTCGTTACCACTTGCACTGTATGTGCGATATGTTCTAATTCTATTACCATATATCCATACGTATATATACAGATATATACATATAGACACACACATACATTCATACGCACACACTACATATATAAAGAAGTAATTTATACAAACAATTAACATTGTTAATGTGATTAATGGCGAAATCACGTCTCTAACAACACTTTGTAATGAGACATTAACTTACTATCAATTCTTTGAATAATACGATCCTTATATTTGAGTTGTTGTCAGATGGAGTTGACGAGCCAAGTACTTTCAACAATTTCATTTTGTCATATTCGGGGCGCAATTTTTCCATACAAAACACTAAGAAGAAATATATGTAGTGTAGACCGAAAGATTATTTTATTTTAATATGTTAGTTATTTACAGTTATATTAGGTTGGTGCAAAAATAATGACGTAATAATGTCGTTTTTTGACGTATTTTTTAAGGTCAAAAAACGTCATTATTTTTGCACCAACCTAATATTATTTTGGAGCGTACGATGCTGCCACTCTAGACTTCTTCTTCAAATCATTCAAGTGAGAATTTGATTTGAATTTTGTAATGTGATAAATCCACGAATTTTTGTTGTTGCATGTATTTTTCAGTTAAAATGGCATGGAATTAAGTATAATTCAATTAGTAGAATGACTTTGTAGCTTTCCACAAAATTTAAAATTCTGAATATTATGTACTGCCGATCTGATTTTCGTAAATATATTATAGTGTTTAGCTTATATAGAATATCATAAAGAAGTAATTTATACAAAGAATTAATTAATGTGATTAATGGCGAAATCAAACTTAATGAGACATCATTAATGATATCAGTTCTTTGAATAATACGGTCCTTATATTGTCTTGTTAACGAAGTGATTTCGCCATTAATCACATTAACATTGCTAATTAATTCTTTGTATAAATTACTTAAATTAAATTCTGCTGAAAACTATTATTGCGTAAGTAAATATAAGGAACCCAACTGTGATTTGAACTTGACTCTACGATTTCCTATTCGAGTCGTTGTCTAATACAGCACCTGCACTTGTAAAACTTTTGACCACCTGGTATTCCTGAAATTTTACCCAGAAGAACTAGTATTTCAATGTGATATGCCCTATTATATATATATATATATATATATATATATATATATATATATATATATATATATATATATATATATATATATATATATATATATAAATAATATTTTGACATATGTCGATTAGTTTTCGTTTATGATCCTTTCGAGTTTACGAATTAATTTTTTGTAGCCTTAGAAAATTGGTAAAAAATATTGAAAATTTTCTTTCAAATAGTTTTTGTTTTAAAGTACTTTCAACCTCATCTGAGACCATTAAAGAAAAAATTTAGTATCAATTTTTCTAAACGACATTATATGTCAAATTATTTAAATAAACCTATCTGAATATATATATATATATATATATATATATATATATATATATATATATATATATATATATATATATATATATATATATATATATATTTATATATTTCAGTAGGAATTCTATTTCAACTCTCTACTTCTAAAGGTATCTGTCTAAACTCTAAAATATATAGTATTTTTTTGTTTTGGATTACTTCTAAAATCTCTTCTTTCCCTTTCATTTCCAGTAGCATCTTGGGTTTTAGTTATCGCTTTATTTGAGGTGAATTGATTTAAAAAAATATTTTTATATCATCTATTTTTTCTAAAATAACGTTTCATAAAAGGACATAGGAAAAATTCTTTAATAAAGAGAATTATGTTGTGTTGGCGGATTTTTTTTTTTAGAAACAGAAAAAATCATTCCAATGAATTTCAATTTGATTTGAAAGACAGCCAAGTTTTTGCTTATCGGAAATATTAATTTTGAACTATTAGCTCAGAATTAAAACTAAAATAAAAGTTAAAGAAAAGAATTATACTGTTTTTAAAATGCATTTTAAGTCTGGCTTTTCGATATATATATATATATATATATATATATATATATATATATATATATATATATTTTAACGTTCTTTTTTATAGATACAAGTATTTAAGTAAATGCTCTGTTTATAATAAACAGTATTAAATAACATTTATCGCCCTGAATGTCAAAGAAATTTTCATAAAAAATATTCGTCCTTTGACAGGATTCTTACCTGGATCCTATACGATGTATATATATATATATATATATATATATATATATATATATATATATATATATATATATATATATATATATATATATATATATATATATATATATATAACGATAAAAAAGCAAAACTTAAATTAAAATGTATATATATATATATATATGTGTGTGTGTTTGGGCAGCAATCCCGCTTTTATTCAAGTTTCATTAAAAACGACTGACGAGGTACTGCCGTTAATTTTTTTATTCAATTTTTCTTGTGTTCTGATAATTTTCTTATTTTCTGGACAAAAATTACATGAAAATTGTCCGAATGTTCTGTATGACCTAGCGCTTTTGGCTATCCAGGGATATTATGTCTGCTAATTTTTAATAAAATCCGTTCATACTGATGAATAACCTTCTATGTATTGATATTAAAGGGTGAGAGAAATGTGCTATAGCTGTTTAAATTTCTTTTATTTTCATTTCCCATGTACTTTCGATCTTCTTCCAAGATCATCTTCAGGGGTGCAAGTGATATAAAACTATATGTTCGTTAATATAAGTATTTATACAAAGATTTGCGTTGTTATCCTATTAGCGTAATTTTTCATTATGATTTTAAATGCAAAACGGTTGACAATTTGACGAGAGTTCATTTGTACCACTTGCACCCCTGAAGATGATCTTGGAAGAAGATCGAAAATACTTAAGAAATGAAAATAAAAGAAATTTAAACGACTATAGAACATTTCTCTCCTGCTTTAACATCAATACAGCGAAGGTTATACGTGAGTATAAACGGATTTTATTAAAAATTAGCAGATATAATGTATGTAATTTATTCAATCAGACATATATATAAATATATATATGTGTGTGTGTATGTGCGCATGCGCGCGCATATGTGTGTGATGTTATTTTGCTTTCATTAATCTTTATGGTTATATTTTAAGGTTAGTACATTACTAAATCTCATCGTGTAGAATCTCTGATGAACATTGTGGCTTTCGATATCTAAATTTTGAACTGGGTTTCAATAGCAAAAGATCTATTTCCCAACATGGAACATGCATCTATCTTAGCCTTAAGATATCTCTTAATTCAAATAATATTTAAGGTCGCAAGTATTTTTGTTTGTTTCCAAGGAGATTTTAGTCTGCGCTAGAAATATAGACTATATATCTAATGTTGACTTACAAAATAGGCAGTACATATTCGCTTGGAAGAATTGGCGCAATTCAGTCTTCCCATTTTTTTTCGCTTTGTCATTGTCTCAAATTAAAGAAGACTTAGTAAATAATATCTGCGACGCGTTTCACAGATGGTATGTTTGCACTGGAGATAGCTGGTACAAAATTTGGATGGGATCGGGACAATAAAAACGTGTTTGAATAGCGTTAGGTGTTTTGCTGGATGTGAATCTATCTCAAGTATTTGGCTCAACAAAACCAGGACCTTTGAGAATCTTCATGAAAAAAAAAAATAACAAAATCCCCAAAAAACAATAAATGAACTAATCTTTCTCGCTCGAAAAAAAATATATGAGAACGCCATTCCTGCTCGCTTACTTCTCTCTGCGGACAAAAAGGTCTGACCATTCCCGCTGTCTTCATCGCAAGATCAAATAAAGATTAATGCCTATGGTTACGAACGCAGTGAGATTAAACTATCGGTAAATAATCTATGAAAAAAGAAAAAAAAATCAAGCGGGAATTTTCGGAAGACGAATGATATCAATGACGATAAGAAAAATACAAAAACAATGACTCGTGGAATAATAATAATAATAATAATAATAATAATAATAATAATAATAATAATATGAAGAAGAAGAAGAAAATATTTAAAAATAATTGTCTCGATGAATACCAAAAACTAACCAGTTGGATGCGATATAATTTGTACGAAAATGAGGAGGTGATTGACTCGACCGACACAAAAGAATGAAAATAAAATATAACAGTATCAACAAAGAGAAATAAATCTCATTTTCTCCGCCAAACTCCTAATAAAGAACAATTACTGAAACAAATACTCACACCAACATTAACCTGTAAATATAATGTCCGAACGCAGGTTGTTCGCCGTGGGGCAGTTGTGAGCGAGCTAGCCTCCCAGATTGTTGTAGCGAGTTCGGTCCTTACAATAGCGGTTTTGGATAAATTAAAATAAGCATCCGTAAACCTAAAGGTAGGCGCCTTGTTGTGTGGTTATGGTTAACGAAGTACGTTGTTAATGCTTAGTGAATGTGATCATAACTTTGTTACCGACAATTATGATCTGTATGGTTGTCAGCCAAAGGGACAGCCCAAACACGCAAGTTACAAATTGGGGATACCGAAATCAAGCAAGTATAAGAATTTAAATATCTGGGAACTGTTTTAACAGAAGACGGAAAGTGCGACACTGGTATCCTAAGGTGCATTGGGATAACGAAAGATACCTTCTAAAAATGCCGTTCTGCAGAAGGATGCTGAGAATATCATGAACCGAAAATGTTCGCAGCGACGAAGTTTTAGAGAAAATAAAAACAAAAGGACACATACATAATATCAGGAAGGGAGAGTGGAAATTTATAGGGCACATAATGAGGTAAGAGTGCTTAGAAAATATGACACTCACAGTATAAACGACCTAGCGAGCTTGAGTAAATGGATGACAGAACAGGGTTTAGGAGAAATAAAAGAAAGTCAAAATTTATTAAGAGCTAATAATCGAATACGCATTAATCGAGGGATGACTACCAATCTTTGCTTAGGCACAAGGTCAGGACACTCAGTGAGGATCAAACTCACTAAAAGACTTGTTTGCTATTGAACCACAACGATGTATGCCTGTTATGATTGGGCTACCAGATTTACCATAAGGAAACATAGGACAATGTTCAAAATTAAATTCCACTTATTTGCATGAACAAACGCAATACACACCAGTATTAATTATTAAAAATTAAAATAACAGTCCGATATTTTCTAAAAATACGGTATTGCAGTTATTAATTATAGCCTCATAAAGACCCAGTATCAAAAATACAGTATTAATAATATCCCATCTTTGGGGCTGTGGGTATTTTAAGATAAACTGAAATGCCAAAACAATAGTGCTCCATAATAATTGTTATATTTATATTTATTTTGTAAAAGTAGAAAATTGTGGCCCAAGGCCGAAAAAGGGGAGGGGTAAAGACTGGTCTTCACTAACTATCTTATACCTAGCTAATTTGATTCACGACCCATTCAGACATTACAATTTACCCATTCACCATATGAAATCCTCCGTCACCAATCAATCCTCCATGCACCATAGTACCACATCCACTCTGGGGAGACCTACAAAACGCGCCCTGTGTCATAAAAATTTAATGATACTAAAAGACATATATAAAATTCTATGATGAAAAACTGCGAGGGGAGGGAGATGAACCCAAAAACGAACAAAACTATTAACACAAATCAAATTAAACATAACTGATGTTAGTTGGACCCTTCCAACCCTCAAAACAGAGAGGCCACCGTATTCTGCCCATGGGGCAAAATCAAGCAGCTCTCTCGCTAAGGGAGTGGGAAAAGGACAAAAAATCATACGGGCATGGAAAAATAAATGATTGTTATATTTGCATACAAATTTCATACACTAAATGTAACAATTGTTCTGGGACGATAGTCATATTTTTACTACTTGCCTGGTATATTTACAATATTTGCATACATGGGAATCTGTATTTAAATTCGGCAAATCTGCTAACTCGAAAACTAACTACTGTATATTGATTTCGTTAACCGGGTGACACTATGATTCGCCAAATATTTGTAAAAAAAAAAAAAAAGCATGTAAGCGAACCAATTTGTGATTTTGATTTTAACTGGTTGACTCACGATTTTTGCATTGTGTCTAACTTATTTAAACCTAGTAAAATATCAAATCAGTTTGAGGGTGTCTATTACAAAGATAAATATAATCTTTACCATTTTACGTTATTCGCTTTGATGAAAATTAAACATACGTTCAGGATATTCTCTGACATCCGAAAGGGCCGACTGCGAAGAAATAATTAAAACTAATTTATACGGGAAAAATTGGGAGTTCACAAGCTCTAGAATAACTTTGTCTATCTATATGCCTCAAGGTAGGAATATATAGATTAGAGAAATGATCAACTATGACCGGAACGTTAAATAATGACCTGTCGATGGTGAATTCAAGTCTCGTTGAAGTCTAATTGTTTATTTCATTTTCCAGCAGTTAATTTCAAAAGAGGTTTTTGATTGATTCGTTCTCTACGGCTTATCAAACTTTTACAGGTTATTTAAAGCTATAAATCTTATTATCCGGGCGATTTTTATTGATTACTTACTTTAATCGGTTCAATTGAGTACAATACTTGTTTGAATTTAACTCCTATTTTTGTGGAAGGATCTTGTAATAGCAAATATGATGGATTATTTAGCCTTCCTCGGGACATTTTTTGCTCTGCATTGTTATTGTTGCGGACCCGGTAGGGTGCAGTGCTGGATTATACTGAGGGGCCTTGTGCCAGACACCACACTAAACTACCGAGCCTACAAGCAAAGTAAAAAATGCGTGAATGAACAACGAAGAAATGTGGAAAAAAATCACACGTGCATAAATAAAATATATTAACAAGATAGCCTCCTCGGAATGACTGAAAAAGACTGGATTTCAAATAAGAGTAATCTTATTTAATACAGGAAAAACAAGTAATTTGTCCCGTGGTAGGGACCAATGAAAAGGTTCCGCGCCAAAATGGAAAAGCAAGATGGCTAAAAGGCGGGAAAAGGTTCTTGAAGAAAAAGGTTCCAGTAAGTCAATGTACATGGTAATATTCATACAAGGAAAATACTCACTGCGTGAGTTTAGGTAATGTGAGTGAATGTTATGTATATTTATTTTTTTTTTCTTTTTTTGTACTGGTTCAAACAGATTTCTGACGAGACCCAAAGTGGACGACGGATTGTTTTGTATGTTCTGCATCGTCTCGAGTAGGACTTTGAATGACGAGTCTCAAAGGGCCGAGGAATTAATATTTTGGATGTTTTGCATCATCTCGGAGGAGGACTTAATTATCTGGTATTTGCATTGTAAGATATCCCTCGTCTGCCAACCTTGCATATTGACATGGCTAAAAATGAGTCTGCTCAGCTCAGAGTCTGAACACCAACTGAATTTTTTGAAACAACAGTTTGTCGTTGACGTCACAAATTTTCAAGGCAAGATTTCAAAAATCTAATTTGCATAAACAGTAGTAACAAGTCAGCGGTTGGTGACCAAAGCAGTTACTACTGTATTAGACCGAACGAGGAGAAAAGGGGGTGTCAAAAACGCGCGCGCACACACGAGTGTCGGAGAAAGGAGGCAACTCGCGCGCGTAAAATGTCGTAGATGGAATAATACATTATTCCACAGCTCTCCCCTGGATCAAATGTCGCAGACATTTGACTAATAGTAGAATGTTTCAAATTTCTTTGGAAGGTGACTGACCGGAGCTGGTACACTTTAGGCTTGTCGAGAGAAACAGGTGTCTTAAAATTCTCCTGAACTTGCGGAGTTGATTGGGAAGTAGCATGAGACGACGGACACTCTATAAAGGCAGGTTTCAACCGATCTATTGAAACGTTGTCGGTGTGAATACCTTTTGTATTTGGAAATATTTGTCCGCGCGTTTAAGAACGCGGTATGGGCCTATGTAGGCCGGCGTAAGAGGCCGCTTAACAGAGTCATTACGTACAAATACATATTCGCAGTCCTTGAGCTGGAACGGTAAATAGATATCACTCTCAGGCAGTGCCGCGGTGGTGTATAGCATAAGTTTGCCATTTTAAAGCGTAAGTCCTGAATAAAAAGGAAGAAACTGGTGGTGTGGTCACAGCTGGGTGAAAATATTGGCCAGGTAAAGATAACGAAGTACCAAATACAAGCTCTGCAGGGGAGCATTTCAAGTCATCCCCTTAAGAATATTTCTTAACGATAGAAGGATGAAAGGTAATTCATCGACCCAATTATTATTCTCATGCTTCGTTGATAGCGAAGCCTTAAAGGTGCGATGGAATGGTTCCACCAGGCCATTAGCACAGGGTGATACGCTGTAGTACGTATGTGCTTTGCACCAAGGAGTTCAGTAATTCCTTGAAAAACACGACTGGAACTGAGCTCCTCTATCTGTAGTAACCACTTTAGGAGTCCCAAAATTGAAATCCAATCGCGTAAAATAGCTTTTTTGCGACAGTCACAGCAGTGGTATCTTTAACAGGAAATGGCAGTAGGCCATCGGGAAAAACGATCCACTATAAGTTAGAAGGTAGGAATAACCGTGGCAGGTTGGTAAGGGCCCAACTAAATCAGGTGTACATTAATAAAACGAGCATCAGGCTCGCTGAAAGTGCCCACAGGAGATTTCGTGTCGCTATGCACCTACTTCTGGACATTGTAAACAAGTGATAACCCATTCGCGAATGTGAACGTTCATATTCGCCAAACGCAAACGGTCCCCGTTAACTTAACTGTGGCTCTTTGCTAGGGTGTGAGAGTCCGTGTAGGTGGTCAAACCTGTCTACGAAGAGACGGAGGAACATAAGGTCTTGGAGATTGGATTTTACATCACAGTATAAGACCTTGTTACTAAAAGGAGCTGGACATTTCTGAAGTTCTAAAGAAGTGTCTGATAACACATGCTTCAGGAGTTATGTCCGCTTCCTGTTCGTCGGCGATCAAATCTTGACTGAAGTGCATCAGTATGCGACGAACATTCCAGTACGAGATAGGGTATCGGCGACAGTGTTATCCAGACCCTTAATGTACCTAATATCAGTAGTAAATTGCGATATATAGTCCAGGTATCTGATCTCCCCTCGCAGTGTATTTGTCCGAATTAATGGACATAACGGACGTTAAAGGTTTGTGGTCCGTAAATATAACGAAGGACCTACCTTCGAGGAGGTGTCTGAAATGCTTAATGGCACGAAATATAGCCAACAGTTCACGAGAAAGAATGCTGTAGCGTGACTGGGCAGGAGAAAGTTAGCGGAAAAAGAACGCTATAGGTCTACGTTGAGAAGGAGACATTGTTCAATGACTGCGCCTATTGCTGTTTCGCATAGCGTCAGTGGTCAGGCAGATATCCGATTGAGGTCGTCCTCTCTAGAAACTAAGCTTAGAAAATTGCCTAGAGCGGTTTTAGCTGCTCGAAAGGCGTCCAAGGCTTCATTCTCAAGTATAATAGTCTTATTCTTCTTCTGTAATAAATTGGTAAGGAGTCAGGATGTTAGAACAATTTGGAATAAACCTCCTGTAGAGTTGATCATCCCCATAAAGCGTCTCAACTGTTTAATAGAAACAGGGACGGGAAACTCAGTGATAGCTTTAATCTTTTTCAGTTAAAGGGCAATTCCATTTGCATCGACGATGTCCTAAAAAATTCTATATGGTCTGATCCGAAGACACATTTGTCCAGGTTTAGACGAAATCCGTAATGGGACAAACGTTGAAGAACTTCGTGTAAATTAGCTTATGCGAGGCAGCGTCTGCTAGCTATCAGAATGTCGTCAATGTAATCGAAAACAAAAAGGGAGTCCACGCAGAACCTCGTCCATAAGACGTTGGAATGTCTGTGCTGCGTTGCAAAGGCCGAAAGGCATTTTCAAAAAATTCAAATAGACCAAAAGGTGTAGTAACAGCAGTTTTGGGACATCAGCAGCAGCTACTGGCACCTGATAATATGCTTTTGCTAGATCTATTTTAGTAAAAAATCTTTTGCGCCTTGTAAACCAGAAGTGAAATCGTGGAGGTGGGGGATGGATAACGATCCCGGACGGTGATGGAATTCAATCTTCTATAATCCACACAAATTCTATAGTCCTCCTTTCCTGGTTTAGGTACTAAATGAAGAGGGGAAGCGTAGGGACTGTCGGACGGATGAATAACACCTCGTAGCATGTCGTCGAAAGCTTTCTTTGCGAATTTTAATTTGTTAGGTGCTAGACGACGAGGACGGAAAAAACAGGTTGACCAGTGGATGTAATAAAGTGCTGTGTTTGATGTTTAGTTGAATCAATAGATCCAGCAGGACGCAGGAGGTCCTGGTACTGATTCAATAAGTCTCAAGTACTCTTTATTGTGGCACGTTGCACATGATGCCAGTGGTAGTAAGTTTAGAATAAGTGCCAAGAACACACAGACTTGTTAAGTTGTCAGTAAGGGAATGATTGTTCATTCCTTTGGCGAGATCATAGTGCGCCAGAAATCGGCACCTAGTATCGGCATCTGGACGTCAGCAACAGTAAAATTCAAAGCAAAGTCTCGTCGCATCCCCATGTTTAGGGTAAGGGACTTCGTACCGTAAGTATTAATACTGGAACCATTTGCTGCTTGTAAGCGGAGCTGAAAAGGTTGTTGACGAGCTTTATCACGCGCACGGGTAAGACACTAATGGCAGCGCCGGTATCAACCAAAAACGTAAATTATTACGTGTGTCCGTCACATAAAAAAGGCGACTAAGTTTTGGTGAAAATGCCTTTGCCAGCGAGATTAGTCGCTTTCACTCGCTGGCGGTTTTGTTTTCCGCGACCGCAGTATAAGTACACGGCTTGATGCAGTAATAAGCTTTAGACCCAAATCTTCGGTGGTAGTAACGCATATAGTAAGTGGCATCCTTATCTCGGCTGGACGAGCGTGGTCGACTTCTGAAGCGCCGGCGGGAAGGGAACCGGCTTCGACCACGGCTCTTTAGAGCTAATGTTAAATCTCAACTTGGCGCTGCAATTCCTCGACTGTTTTTTCAAGGACCTGTGGTCTCCAGTCGCTTCAGCACTGTGTACCGGCGTTGTTGATTATCCAGTTGCGAGAAAATACGATCCGCGGCGTCCGCTAATTGATCGATCGAGGTGTTTTCGGACATTGGCGCCAAAATTTGGGTTATGGTGGTGGGGAGACGGTCCAGCCAAAGCTTTTTTTAATATAGAGTCGGCCATGGTATTTTTGCCTAGTCGGCTTTTCATATAACGAAGAAGAAGTTGGGAGGGAGTCCTGCCATCACGATTAGGTTGCTAAATAGTTCCCGGATTAATGAGCTCCTCTGTACGGCCCATTCTCCTTAAGATTTCTTTTAACCGGGCGTAGGGTTACTACTTCAGGAACGGCTTTGAGGAAGTCTGAGACCTCATCAACAATGGCGGGTGGCAAAACCACGCACCACGTGGCCAAACTTGGTCTTTTGGTCTGTAATCCTTCTGACTGTGAAATGGCCCATTTGTAAGAACCAGTTCTTTATATTCCCTTCATGAAAGGGGGAAAAGGAGCGACGGCGGCGACTGTTCGCCAACTCTTCAGAGTCACTAGTCGTCATTCGGCTATCGAATTTAAGCACGTTTATATTTCAGCTTGCTCAGAAATATGTTAGCAAGGTTACAAAATTATTACGTGTTCAATTCATCACGTCAAGGGTCACTAATCTTGTTGCGGACCCGGTAGGGTGCAGTGCTGGATTATACTGAGTGGCCTTGTGCCAGACACCACACTAAAATACCGAGCCGACAAGCAAAGTAAAAAATGCGTGAATGAACAACGAAGAAATGTGAAAAAAATCACACGTGCATAAATAAAAATATATTAACAAGATAGCCTCCTCGGAATGACTGAAAAGACTGGATTTCAACAAGAGTAATCTTTATTTAATACAGGAAAAACAAGTAATTTGTCCGTGGTAGGGACCAATGAAAAGGTTCCCGCGCCAAATGGAAAAGCAAGATGGCTAAAAAAAGGCGGAAAAGGTTCTTGAAGAAAAAAGGTTCCAGTAAGTCAATAGTACATGGTAATATTCATACAAAGGAAAAATACTCACTGCGAGTTTAGGTAATGTGGGTGAATGTTATGTACGTATTTTTTTTTTTTTTGTACTGGTTCAAAAACAGATTTCTGACGAGACCCAAAGTGGACGACGGATTGTTTTTGTATGTTCTGCATCGTCTCAGTAGGACTTTGAATGACGAGTCTCAAAGGGCCGAGGAATTAATATTTTGGATGTTTGCATCATCTCGGAGGAGGACTTAATTATCTGGTATTTGCATTGTAAGATATCCTCGTCTGTAACCTTGCATATTGATATGGCTAAAAATGAGTCTGCTCAGCTCAGAGTCTGGAACACCGACTGAATTTTTTGAAACAACAGTTTATCGTTGACGTCACAAATTTTCGCGGCAAAATTTCAAAATCTAATTTACATAAACAGTAGTAGCAAGTCGCGGTTGGTGACCAAAGCAGTTACTACTGTATTAGACCGAACGAGGGAGAAAGGGGTGTCAAAACGCGCGCGCGCACACACGAGTGTCGGAGAAAGGGGAGGCAACTCGCGCGCGCGTAAATGTCGTCGATGGAATAATACATTTATTCCACATTATAAACAGTCAGTTTTCATCTCCGGTGATCGTTCTTTTAAAAAAATAGGTCGATGTTGTCACAGGCCTTCCGGAACCTTCTCAATTTTCCAGATTCAGATTTCCACTTCTGTAACTAACGAACTGAATGATTGATACCTTTTCTACAGCTTTGCAGTTTATTTAAAGTTAGAAAAAAATTTTTAGATTGTGAAAATTTTTTTGGAGAAAATAATGATTTACTGATACACGTATTACTAATTAACCCATAGCTTGGGTAAGAAGAAATGGATTTATACCTTTCCCAAGTGTATTTACGCGTAAGTTAATATAATAAACCCAATGGGAATTTGAACGCGACTCTCCGATTAACAATTTCGAGCCATTATCCATTACACCACCCGCACATCCAATCTTACAGAATCTGGTACTCCCAAACGTTCACCCATTCAGGTACTGATCAGGTTCGACGTTACTTAAATGCAGTGATCTTACGGGAACCGGTGTTACAACGTGATATGGCAGTAAGTCTGAAAAGAGGTAAGAAAATGCATTTAAAATCATTTTCAAAAGAAATCGTCCAAAAATATTCTTCTTGTTCGTTCATGATGAGGGGGACCATAGCTTTTACAATTTTCTATCCCTCATAATGTTTCTCTCTTTGCCAAGCTTCTCGTCCCCGGTCGTCAAACTCCTCAAGTGTTAGGTATAGATGGGGAAGCCCGCTGCTTCCCCACCTATCTCTCTTGCCCCTCCATATGCCCTGTGAGTGTTAAGACTTCCAAGCCCTCCTTCCTCATTATATAAATTTCATCTTTCTCTTTCTGATTCTGGATATAAGTGTTCGTTTCGTTTTTATTTTCTTCCTTATTCCTTGATTACTCCCTGCGTCCGTGGAATTCTCAGTATCCTTCTGTATAACTATATTTCTGTTGCCTCCAGTTTCCGCTTCATCTTTAATGAGATTGTCCAATATTCACTGCCATAAAAGAGGATGGATATCACAAAGTCATACGGTACTCTTTCCTTTGTAACCAAATTCTCCTGTTTGTTCATACTTTGCCGAGCTTTCGTAATGCATTTTTTGCTAATCCGAGGCGAGTTTGGATTTCGGTGTCACATTTTCCATCTTCTGTTTAAGCACTTCCAAGATATTTCAACTTCTGTACATGCTTGATGTTGATATCTCCATTTCGTCGATCTCTACAATTTTCTTATTTTTTATGTGTGATTTGCCCTGGAAACTTGGGGAAATATAAAGAAGCGTTTTCTGTTGCCTTCTCTGTTTTGAACTAATCAATGGCTGAGAGCCCAGTCTAGTCTGTTTTTATATATACTGTGCAAAGTGAACATGATATACAGTCTCGGAATTTGAACGCTAATCGTCGATTCCACTTTCATAACCGCCAGAGAAACAAAAATATTAAAAAACTTAATCTGTATTCATATATATATCCAGGGACCATAAGATGAATTAGGATACAGATAAAAATAAATTGCACTTTACCCGTATATTCAATGTCTACACCGTTTTTCCTAATCAAGATTATTCAATTAATAATAAATACATTTTATAAATATTAACCATTTCATAGAATATATGCACAAGGTATACAAGTATTTGTCATGTCTCTCTTTTAAATGTGCTTTTGAAGTAGAACAACTACATTGAATCAATAGCTAAATCTAAAGATAGTTCACTTTGTCGTGCCAGAAGGTATTTTTCATCAGTCTATCTTACACGTCTACAAATCTGTCATTCGTCCTTGAATTGAATACTGTTGCCTGGTCTGGTGTCCCTGCCGTTCATCTCTTGACAAAATGTAACCCTGAATTGGCATCTCGACTTCAGACTCTTTCTCACAGACGTGATGTGGCTTACCTCTGTCTACAAATATTTTTATAGCTAATGCTCTGACGAGTTTTTCCACTGGTGCCCCGACTGCTTAAATTTAAGCGTGCTACTTGGTTAGCATTTAGGTCTCACCTATTTACTGTTGAACCCATAGCTTCTACTCCAATAGTTTCTTTCCTCGTACTTCCCGACATTGGAACTGCCTTCCTCTCACTTACTTCCCTGAAAACTACATTCTTCAAAAATTTAAATGCAACCTCAATCGCCATCTTCTTTTGCTTTGATCCCTGTCCATTTTTCCTTTCCTCAACCCCCCCTACACCAGCTCTTTTCTCTCATTCTCACTCTCCGTAAATCCCTTGCGTGCTAGTGGTACTCCTGCCTTGCTTGACGCTGTAGTGATTTATTTTAAGCATTTCACTGCTTTAAAAAATCACCACAGCGTCAAGCAACAAATTTGACATTGTGTTTCTAAGGAATTAAATTATTTATTTTTAATCTAACGTTATTTCTTTTAACTCTAAACGTTATTTTTGTGGTTACACGCGATCTTAACGAGAATATATGCATTCTATAAACGGTTAATTGAACTCATTTGGATTTTGATGCTCTCAGCGAACGAGCGGTTTGGAGCATTCCGGATTCGACATTGGTTTACCCTACAAAGGTTTCGAACCTGCGCCTCATTTGTAGAGAAAAAGCCACCGTTTAATCCGGTGAACTCAAGTTCGAACGCTACTGGGGAGTATAGTTTGTTTATTAAGTCTCACGAAAATTGTCTGGAACAATGGATTTGGTTGGTTGGTTTGTTGGTGAGTTGGTTGGTGTGTGGGTTTGTCGTGTAGTTTAAGATATATCAACCCTTGTTAGGTTATTTAATGTCAAAATCTGTTTTTATTATACTTGAGATGATATCAGTTTTGCTATACTTTACTCTATAAATAAACAGTGATCGTGTTTATGCTTCAGTCTATAGGCAAACATTGTACTTGAGCCTGCAAACATACACACTGAAGATGGCTTTTTGTGCGGTAGAACGTTACCTCCACTACAGGGAAAATAGTCTACAATCGGACGACAAGGCAACCAAAGAATTGTAGAGAAAAAAAAGAGCCAATTGCAACGTCAGTCATATCAGGAAAGAATATCAAGAACCGGAAAACTGACATT